TAGGATTTTTAAATTTCTATTAGCGAGTAATAAGTTTAAGTATAGGGTCGAAGTAGTGGCATATCAAAGTTTTATTTTTTAAATAGAACCACTGTATATTGCATATTTGAATTCTTCCTTCAATTTTAAGCAAAAACGAAATGCACACAATGTACCTCAAACCAACCGTTTCTGAGTTATTGACTTTTAAAATCACATAAACAATTTGGTTTAATTAATTTCGATATGTTCACTTTTATTTAACGATGCCATTCTGCCAAAACTGTGATACTGTTGTAATGGGTTTTTAAATGCTTATTAGCTACTGGTAAATTTAAGTATACAGGGTCGGTCATAAAGTTGTGGCTCATCAAACTTTTTTTTTAAATGAAACCACCTGTATATTATTGCATATTACAATTCTACTTTCAATTTTAAGCAATAATCGTAATACACAATGTACATAAATTGAAGAATTGAAATATTAAACAAACATTTTGTAATTTCCAGACTTGATATAATCTCATTTTATACATCTATAAACGCTAACTTGAGAAATAATGTCAAATATTATTAAGTATTACAGTTTCGGCAGAATGGCATCGTTAAATGAAACTGAACATATCGAAATTAATTAAATCGAATTGTTTAAGTGATATGTTCAAAAGTCAATAACTCAGAAACGATTGGTTTGAGGTACATTGTGTGTATTTGGATTTTTGCTTGGAATTCAAGGAAGAATTGAAATATGCAATAATATACGGGAGTTCTGTTTAAAAAAATAAAACTTTGATGTGCCGCGACTTTATGATCGACCCTGTGTAAAATTTATTACTCGTTAATAGATATTTAATAATCCTATAACTTTTGTATTTAACTTTTTGCGGTACCTCCTATATTGTACCTAATAATCGACCGTTTCCATACGTAACAGCGACCCTGTATATCACCATACTTTAACACTATTTTGTCAATATATTTCTATGAATTGATTAATTTTGTGTTCTGCAATCAATGACTTATTAGGCATTTTATATTTACAATAAAGTGTAATTTGACAGGATTTGTACTGGATTTGCAGTAGCAGAAGCAAAAGTAATTTGATAATGAAAAGTAGTTCTCCCCATTGTATCAATTGTGTCTTCTTGTGACACGACACTTAAAAGACACACATGTTATCATAGAAAGGCGTTGTAAATAGTTAAGAGAACCTAATTTTTAGTTAAGTTTTATGCCTTTGTAATTTTGTTTTAATTTGTATTCATGAATCTGTTATTCTAGCATCAATTAATGATCCTCACATAGAAATGCTAAGATAGTTGTAAAATGTACTTTTAGAGTAGTAGAAAAGTAATGTAGTGAGTTTTTTATAATGTAATTTGCTTATAAAAAATAGAAAGTTATAATGGTTTATATATTATATTTTTTTTTGTTTTCCTAATTTTTGGAATGTTCAAATATGATATATCTAAAGTATTTTTATAAGTTCTTAATTTTAGAGGGCTTTTAAATTTATACGTAATAATGTTTTAATTAAATTTTTTTCTCATTAAAAAAATAAATTATTCAATTAAGTCAAGTTTAATTAATTATTAATTTCTCGTGAGGGCATAGTATAGCGTAAAAATTGAATTAGATTTTTGAAGTCATTTCATAATTTTAATTGGGAAGCACGTGTCGCTGACATTAATCATTGAAAGAAAATTAATATTAATCAAGCTATCTATATATCTTTAAGTTGGGTAATATGCCCAGTAACATTTTTCAACAAACATCTACCACACGACATACAGGGTCGCTGTTATGTATGGAAACCTCCGATTGTTAGAAGGTACCGCAGTTAAATACAAAAGTTATAGGATTTTTAAATTTCTATTAGCGAGTAATAAGTTTAAGTATACAGGGTCGGTGATAAAGTGTGGCATATCAAAGTTTTATTTTTTAAATAGAACCACTGTATATTGCATATTTGAATTCTTCCTTCAATTTTAAGCAATAACGAAATGCACACAATGTACCTCAAACCAACCGTTTCTGAGTTATTGACTTTTAAAATCACATAAACAATTTGGTTTAATTAATTTCGATATGTTCACTTTTATTTAACGATGCCATTCTGCCAAAACTGTGATACTGTTGTAATGGGTTTTTAAATGCTTATTAGCTACTGGTAAATTTAAGTATACAGGGTTGGTCATAAAGTTGTGGCTCATCAAACTTTTTTTTTAAATGAAACCACCTGTATATTATTGCATATTACAATTCTACGTAACAGCGACCCTGTATATCACCATACTTTAATACTATTTTGTCAATATATTTCTATGAATTGATTAATTTTGTGTTCTGCAATCAATGACTTATTAGGCATTTTATATTTACAATAAAGTGTAATTTGACAGGATTTGTACTGGATTTGCAGTAGCAGAAGCAAAAGTAATTTGATAATGAAAAGTAGTTCTCCCCATTTAAAATAAAATCTAATTATGACTTAATAAGTATATCTTAAATTAACGTTAGAAAGTTTCACAGAATCTGAGATCAATTGTGTCTTCTTGTGACACGACACTTAAAAGACACACATGTTATCATAGAAAGGCGTTGTAAATAGTTAAGAGAACCTAATTTTTAGTTAAGTTTTATGCCTTTGTAATTTTGTTTTAATTTGTATTCATGAATCTGTTATTCTAGCATCAATTAATGATCCTCACATAGAAATGTTAAGATAGTTGTAAAATGTACTTTTAGAGTAGTAGAAAAGTAATGTAGTGAGTTTTTTATAATGTAATTTGCTTATAAAAAATAGAAAGTTATAATGGTTTATATATTATATTTTTTTTTGTTTTCCTAATTTTTGGAATGTTCAAATATGATATATCTAAAGTATTTTTATAAGTTCTTAATTTTAGAGGGCTTTTAAATTTATACGTAATAATGTTTTAATTAAATTTTTTTCTCATTAAAAAAATAAATTATTCAATTAAGTCAAGTTTAATTACTACTGGTAACCTATCACCTAAATATTTTATAATACGCTTTGTTATAGTGAAATACAAAAATGTCCGTCAAAACTGATTTATTATAAATGTTGTTTTTTATTTGAATATTATAAATAAAAATTAAAATGTTAAAAATGAAATAAACGCTGACCGTAAATGTGCTTTGTACGTTTTATAAAATCAACTTCGCTTTATAAACAATTTATTGTTATTTCTAATTTAAAATTTATATTTCACTCCATCATGTTATGTTTATTTATTTTTATTAAATAAAATATGCAGATGCGAAACTGTTATGTCAACGGTTTATATCAAGCTTTATTAATAAATTTATACATTTTTGCAAATAAATGAATTTTAGATAGCTAAGTTGTACGAATTTTAAAGGCAAATATATACATTTAGTGTGGATATTAGTGTCAAATCGAACTTTCGTTGAAAAATTTCAAAGCAGTACTAGAATAACTGTTAATTAGTTTTGTGGGAGATATTTTTATTCATAAATTCTACAAATTGAATTTAATATTTTCCATCGCTATAAAAATTTTCATTATTCACTTAGACTTACAATGTCTAAGCACATTTAGGAGCACGTAAACGTAAGGCTGTGACTTGTAAATGAACTACTGTGGTGTTATCAAAAATATAATCACATTTAATTGAATTTAAAAATTATGTATGCTGAGTATTGATATATTGTAGTTTCGCCGTATTTCTTGAATTTTCGACCTTTTTGTTTTGGCTAATAAAAAAAACAAAGAGATGGATTTATATCTCTTTTTAAACATATACAGGGTGATCCATTAGTGCGAGGAAATCCAATATCATCGTTATGAAAAAAAAACAGTTTTATATCGATGTTTAAAAAGGAGGAAATATTTTGTTGTATATAGGGTGTCTCAAAATAAATTATGTTAAAGCTTTAGGGTTTTTTTTTAAATTACACCCCCCTCCATTTTTTGAACATAGTTGGATTCAGCATAAAATTTTTCGTATAGCACTATGCGGTGTTGTCATTCTATTTCATATTTAATGAAACTTGATTAAAAACACTATATCCGAAAAGTGAATTTAAAACTGGAGTGAATATAATTTTATTAATACTTAGCTATATTTCGCTAAACATAAAAGATAACAGAATAAATCCGCGAAGAAAAAATTACATTGTCCTATGCAGGGTATTTTTTATGGCGTGTCCAAAATCGCAACATTTAAAATGCTATATCTCAATTTTTTAAATGCAACACACTGTGTATTATTTTTCATTTAGATAAAGAATTAAAAATGAACATTTTTTGTATTTGAAGCGTTTCTAAATTTTTAGCGCTTTTGCAGATATTGGCTGTATTATATTACTTATGGAGTTTTCAACGTTAAAATACTAGACAAACATTATTAGGTGGCGTTGACAAAAATTTACTGTTGCCAGAGCCATATGTATACGCGAATATCTGCAAAACTGTTAAAAATTTAGGAACACTTTAAATATAAAAAATGTTCATTTATACTACATCTAAAATTAATAAAAAATTCAGTAAATATGAAATAGGATGACAACACCGCATAGTGCTGGAAAGAAAAATAGCGAATGTATGCAGAATTTTATGCTGAATCCAAATCTGTAGAAAAGTGGGGTATGCAGTTTACAAAAACTGAAAACTTTATTATTCATTTTTTTGGGATACCCTGTATACAACAAAATATTTGTAGAATATACCCCTTTATAAACCATGCAATATCTGTATAAAACTTTTTTTTTCATATCTCCAAAAATTACCACGATATTGGACTCCCTCGAGTTAATGGGCCACCCCGTATTTTTACGAAACATTGTAACATATTAATTAAGATATTTTGCTCTTAACTAGAAGAGTTTTCTTTAATTATTTGTTGACACTGAAAGTAGTGACCGATGTAAATAAGTTATGAGAACAGATTACTTTCGGTTGCGCCAATTTACAAGTATCTTGCTTTCAACTAGAGTAAAGTCCTTGACTTAAACGCCCTGTTTTTTAATTGCAGATGACTAAGTCGGACAACAGGAAAGTGGTGCTTCATTCCGTCAACTGGAAGAGTAGCGGACTTTTTCGATGTGAAGTGTCAGCAGAGGCGCCATCTTTTGCTTCGGCACAGAGCGAGGCCAGAATGGAAGTCGTGTGTAAGTAGAAGGAGTGTGTTTGTACTGCATTAACTTCTTTAAGAGACCACTTTTATTTTACTGAGTCTTGGTTTTTCAATTAGATGACAGCTAGGCAGAAGAGATGAACTCTTAGAATAAAATGCAACCTTTAATTAATGCACATCTGATACTCGTGCCATTAAACCGGAAAATATTGTAATTAAAGGATGTTGAATTTTAATCCGCTATTGTTAATTTTATCTAAAAATTAACTGTAACATTTTTGATTTTGTCAAAAATTTAAATATTTTGTAACGATTAAAATCCCCAGATAAAATACACCATTATAACCGCCAACTACAAATAATAAAAAATAAAAAAATAGAAACTAATCATTTCAAATACAAATATATTTAAATGTAATTTGATTTTAATTTTAACTAGAATTTTTTTATAGATATGTTTCGTATAGTCTTGATACATGCTCCGCCGGTGCTACCACCATCGGAGAATATTGTAAACAACTAGTATATACAAATACACGAGCTTAAATAGCGAGTATACGAAATTATATATACTATTATATTATATAAAATATTATATAGTTATTTAAGTATTGGAAAGAATAAAAATATAAAAGTAAATATTTTGATATATATATTCAGAAGGTCTTACTTGTATTATAATTTATTATTCCAGCTAAAAAAAACTTTTTAAATGGTTTTGCTAGTGGGGTCATAATTGGGGCTATTTCGGCTATAACAAAAATTTTTAAGGTACATAATTACAATTTTAGAAGATTTTCATAAAACATTTATTCACTAGTTGATTAAAAAAAGTATACCATTAATATAGCAAATTATATTTTATCCCCTCATAGTATATAGGGTGGTGACAATTTCGATGCTCAACATTGGCATCTCAGAAACTACAACAGATACGCATTCGGTTAAATGACGGTTTAGTTTCGGATTTATGTTAAAAAAATGAAAATAATACGTTTATTTTAAATGACAATATCTTCAGAACTATTGTATCTATTGCAACGTAAGTTGGTAGTTTTATATTTTTAACCTTGGCCAATTAAATGCCGTTTTCAAAAAATTTCTAAGCCTTTTAGATTTCACACAACAACAATCAGGTTTTTGTTTTCTTATGGCCGCCAGTTTGAATTTTTATACTATTAGATAGAGCAAAAAATAATTTATACTTTGGTATCTAACTCTTATTCATTATTATGCAAATTCACTAAAAAAAATAGATTTTTAAAAATTCGCTCAAAAGATCCAGTCTGCCTTGGAAATCCAATTGACACTTTATATGACAGCAAGTTAATTTTTGTTTACCCTATTGAGTGTAAAAATCTGGACACCAACATTTATAGTAGATAAGTGTAAAGTGTATTAACAGTCAACAATATGTTCACAAGTGAGGAAACACGATATTCCAATTATATTCCAATAGATACAATAGTTCTGAAGATATTGTCATTAAAAATAAACGTACCATTTTCATTTTTTTGACATAAATCCGAAACTAATCAAGATACCGGAGTTTTCTTCATAGGTGTTTGTCAAACTTCTAATTACGCAACTTTTGTACCATTTAACCGACTTCGTATCTCTCGTAGTTTCTGAGATGCCAATGTTGAGCATCGAAATTTTCACCAGCCTGTACACATATCTATTTAATTTTTTGATTGTGTAACGAGCACTTTGTTTATTCACTTGTTTAGTCGAACTGCTTGAATCCATTTTTGCTTTTTATCAAATCGGTGTCAGAAACTATGAAGCTATAAAATGTTGTTTTGGAACAGTTAAATATCCAGGAAACTTGAGTTATTGAATGTTATTGCATTCAACAACGCCTTAATTACGCTCTCCTTAACATTTTTTCGGCAATTTTATTAACATTTGAAATTGTCACAACACAACAGGACGCCTAGTTCGAATTCCTTTTCACTTATTTTTTTATTACCCGAAACAGCGTTACATCACACAAACCTCGTATTTGAGTGTTTTATAGTCCCAATAACTGCACTAACAAAAAACTAAAATTCCTAAATATACAAAGTCACTATTTCAATATTATTTTAATGCGATCGACATGAACTGTAACATGAACGGCGTGAAATACATATTGAAAATTTCTGATTTCTGCCGTATACAGCAGACGGCGGTCGGAGTTTTTTGAAATCAACTAAAATGCACCAGCATTATATATTTTTCAGATTTGTTAATTCAAAATACAAAGTGAATAATTTCTGTTCTGAGAGAAAAGAAATACCAAAAAAGAATCAACAAAATATATTGTGTTATGAGTTTCTATAAAAGATTATGTTTATAGTTTTTATTTTGAAATCTATTTGGAATTTTTCCTTCAAACACATTTCTATATAAAATGCACAAAAAAATGCACAAAAACTGTGAGTTAAGAACTCATTCAAAACACCAAAAAAAAATGCTTGCATAAAATTGTCAAATTTTTTGACATAACCTAAATAAACTTAATATACTTCGAAATATTACGAAAAACAAATTGTAAGGATTTTCATGAACAGTATTAATTTTTTTTAATATGAAAAAATTGGTTTAAAATCTTGATTATAAATAATAAAAAACTTGTGTATAGAGAACTAAAATTTTATATGCTATAAAAATATATATATCCAACTTAAAAATATTATGAGATTTATATTTTTGTTTTGATTTTATGAATTTTATCATGTAAAATAGATGTTTATCCGATATTTTTTATTCATATCTATATTTATAAACATCCTACGAGATACAATTTTTTTGTATTTTTTTTATAAAGTAAAAATATGTAAAAATTATAATAAATTACAATAATAAAAATTTAAACATTTTGGTACTTTTTAATGTTGGAGCAAAAAAATGCCTTTTATAAAGTTTTCTTTAAAAACTCAGAATTCAGAACTTTCGCTTTGATAATATCAAACACATTTTTGTATTGATTCTGTTTATTTTCCTGATTTGTGACAGCACAAAGTAATATATTTTTTTTAAATAAAACCGATATTTGTTACTGACGAATATCTTTTTTATGCCAACCATAAATATTTTTGACACAACAAATTATATTTGTCGGAATTATTTATGAAAGATAATAGAAAGTCGATATTATAATAATTATTAAATAATAATATTATTAACTTTATATACCCTAAGTAATATAAATATTAATAGTTCCTAAAAGAATTAAAAAAAAATGATTATTCCGGTTAGAATTTTTTTAATTACTTTCTTCAATTATATTTTAAGATTTTTAAAGTGCTTTTTTTCACTGCAAACTACGTCGAAAATTTTTATAGCTTAAGAATGTTCTATTCAAGTAGAATAGATAAAGGTGTATGTGAGGGGGGAAGTTAATCACCGTGGCCTCTATATATATATACAGGGTGGCCCATCGAAAACGTTCAGCAAGGCATAACGGCCAAGGTATAATTTTTTTCAAAAATTCCAAAAACACGTCAATTTTGTTTGTGAGGGGGACAACTTTTGCCCCAAAAATGATTGGAAAATCTTCAACCCTCTAAGCGGGAGTGTCATCCCCCAACTTTTTTCAAATGGGAAGGGGGGTCAAGTGGTACCGCAGTGAAAAGGGCTTTCTATTCTCTATACTTTCCCGCTTCGCTTTTGAAAATCGGTCTAGTCATTGAGAAAATATGAAGGATTGAAATTTGAAAAGTTTATTTAAACATTTATCAGAGTAAATGATAGGGATAAATTATTTCGAAAAATTTGAGGTTTTTTCTTATTATTTCTAGATGTTTACGCATTTTTTCACTTGCCGCAAGGTTGAACGATCAGGTGCGGTATTTGCTAAGGCTGTATTTCGTTGCAAAACCAGGTGAACCAGACCGGTAAACTACGGTAAATAGCGGTTCCTGAAAAATATCTGTTAGGTACGGAACGGTTTGGTAAAATACTGGATATGTTAAATGTTTACGTTTTCTAAATTTCAATACCTTTATTATAGAACTTATTTTTTTACGCATTTTTAATGTATGTTTTCAATGTATGATGTTTTTGATGTACCTATTCTCTGATTTTATGCTTGATTTTTCTTTTCAATGGAGTTTAATATTGAAAAGTACTTTATTAATGAACTGTTAAACTCGTCAAACAGCTCAAATTATGAGGATTTGCAGGTCCGTGGTCACATAAAAAACCTATCGATAATAAAATAAATGATTAATAAATCAATAAATCTAATCAATATTTTTATGGTTTACAATACATTCATAATTACTATTAATGATCTCGTTCAATGTTCCTAACTTTAAGAAACAATGGCGGCATGATAAGTTTAAATGGTCCTAAAAATCACTCTATGTCTATACCTATTATGTGGCGGATTCATCTCTCCAAAAAAATCCTTTATGGGTATTTCGCCACTGCACTGCAAGAAAAATCTACAAAATAAAATAGTTATTTTTTGTAAACACTTCTGCGTTAAACCTAAACGGACACTGCTTGTCGGAAGTTATGTTTACAGTAATAAAAATTTGCCTAACAAAGAAAGAACTGTTTAACGTTTCGAAAAGTTTATCTCTTTCCGTCGTCGGAAGCAAAAAAAAATACAAAGAATAAAGAAAAAAACTATTTAAAATATTTAAATTCAACTATTCGAGAACACTTTACTCTTTTTAAAACAGATACGTCTACAAGAAACCGTTGACGTTCTGTTAAAATGACATTATATCAAGTTAAACTTAAAAATTAACTAATTACTATTATTTAATTAATTAATTATTAGTTAATTTGAAGAATAGTTGAATTTAAATATTTTAAATAGTTTTTTTCTTTATTCTTTGTATTTTTTTGCTTCCGACGACGGAAAGGGATAAACTTTCCGAAACGTTAAGCATTTTTTTCTTTGTTAGGCAAATTTTTATTACTGTAAACATAACTTCCGACAAGCAGTGTCCGTTTAGGTTTAACGCAGAAGTGTTTACAAAAAATAACTATTTTATTTTGTAGATTTTTCTTGCAGTGAGTGCAGTGGCGAAATAC